ATGGTGCCCGCCAAGGCAAAAAGGAAGGGAAGGAGTGGGGGGGGGGGGATGGGGGGGTACAATAAGAAGAACTTGGAACACAGAGGTTTTTTGCAATGCATATGAGCAGCCTCATCCTCGTCTAGAAGAAGGATGTTCTTTTTTTAATCTGCTTTTCTATGGCCAATGATCCATATTGGAGACGCTAGAAAACCTATAGAAATAAATAACCAGTCATGACAATGAAATGTTTACTTGGGAATATGCTGGAAGCACTGGTAACTAACAAGCCAGTCAATTTAAGCTGCCTGTGCTGTCAAAGTTAAATGCTACCACTTCTTCCATCTGACCACAGAAAATCTGCAGATAATTGTAAGGTGTGTGGGGACCTTAATGCTTGCTCTCTGCTGACAGCGCAGAGCCGCACCAAAGCCGAGAAGAAGCCCAACAAAATAGATGTATGCTAAAGTAAAAAAAAATTAAGGAAAAAATAAAAGTAACACTTTTTTTTTTTTTCTTCTAAACAAAGGCCTAGTAATGCAGCCGCTACAGCTGCGAATACAGCCGCGTGGACCATGTGAGCCTAAAAGATAGAACACTCTACTTAGATAGATTAAAAAAGGCACAGAAACAGTTATTTTATACCTCAATGCAATAAAACATTAAACACAAGGTCTCTTACAGAATCTTAACTATTTGCAAAACACACTCCACCATAAGATACCCCCACTCTAGCATACTAGATTAACCCATTGCTCTTAAAAGTGCATCTAAACCCAAAAACAAATATTCAATAGATTGCCAGTCCTTGTGGTAACTACGTTCATTTTCATTTTTTAGGCCTTATATTCCCTTTTTCTCCCCCAGGTAGTGATCCTGCAATACCATACCCCCATCCTAGGACAATGCTCACTGACTATGCTGTATCTATGGAGTAGTAATGCCATTTTGGGACAGGACTACAGAACACCTCCCCCAGTTCAACTCCAAAGCATAGGGGAGGTGTTCTGCAGTTTCACTTCACGAGGCTGCCTGACCAATCAGGAAGCCAGCCTACAGGTCATGAGGTGCCACCAGGCTTCCTGATTGGCTACGAAGCTGGCTTCACTTGTTGCAAGGCTATGAAGCCGGCTTTCACTTGTTGCCACTCAGCTTCCTGATTGGTTAGGAAGTGCAACAAGTGAAACCGGCTTCCTGATTGGAAAGGAAGCCGGCTCCATACTCCCTCGGCACTGTGGTCAGAAGGAGGTCTCCCTCTGACACTTGTATCGGTATATCTATAGTTTTAATGCACATTAATGCCAAGCACTTAGCTTGCACGAGTAGCTGTGCCATTTATTCAGAATGAAGTTCACACACACTTTTGGTACAACATCTTTAGGACTCAAACCATTTAAGTGTGTTTATAGTGCACAAATGAGCATGCATTGCTTTAAGGAAGCCTTCTATTAAAAGAAACCTCAGGATGCAAATCGGAGACCTGCTCTTGCTTTTATTATCGCTGTGTGCTCCAGAGATGTCAGGGGTGTTTATAGCGCACAAATTAGCATGCATTTACTTTAAGGAAGCCCATTCCTTTTAATAGGCTGCCTAACACGCCACAACAGAACTGAATTGGTACCTACAACATTTTTTTGTGCCACAGCACATTGCAATGCATGGTTGTGTATTGAAATGCATTGTGGTGCACTGAAAATAAATATCACTGCAGCAACACACGTAAAGTGCGGTACAACACAATAGTGTGAACGGGCTCTGAAAGTTGAATTACAACATCTCCTATAGGCGTCTCATGTTTTGCTGATTTCTTACATAACCTCTGTATAAAAGCAATGTTGGGCCATACTCAGGCCCGGCGCTAGCGCAAGGCAAGTATGGCGGGCGCCTTATGGCGCTGCAGGGTGAGGGCGGAAAAAACGGGGCATTTTGACAAGTACAATACTTGTCAAAATGACCTGTTTTTACAGGGGGTGGGGGTCGGGATCGGGGGGGGGGCGCAAAATTGCACTTTGCCCACCTACAATCCTAGCACCGGCCCTGGCCATACTGTGTTACTACACCCTCTGAAAATTATTGAATAATATTGCATTGCAGAATTATATTGCTCTCATAATGGCAAGAAAAAAAAAAAAGTGATTAGCAAAAGGAAGACATGCAGCCATAATCCTTACAAACATAGGTCTTCCCTTTACAAAAACTGCAAAGAAAGTCAAGGTGTCAGTAAGTACAGTTTCCCACATCATCAAAAGGCACTTGGTAACTGGAGGAAACTCTGACAGAAAAGATCTGACAGCACCAAAGCCACGACAAAGTCAGAAGGCAAGTCAACCCAAGAATATTGGTCTGTTATATCTGCATAAGATGGTCATATTTTTAAAGCATTTGGTTCAAACAATTCCAGGATGTTCATCTGTTATTTTCAGGGTTTTTTCTGAAGCAGAAGATAATGAAGAAGGCAGAGATGTAAACAGTAGGAGCAGACACCTTAGGCTCTGTTCACATTTCTGCAATGTGACGTCACTAGTGCACTGCAGGGTGCACTGTAGCACATTACAGTAGAGCAGTGCATTAATTTTATTGGACTGTCTAAGGCAGGGGTGGACTAACTCATATGGAATCCAGGAGCCAGCTGGATTTTTAAAAATGTATTTGTTTTTAGGAGCCAGCTCCATTGACCTTAACTAGTCAAAACCTCAAAAGTTGAACATCAGCTCTCATTTATAAGGAGCATTGGCTACCCGGCTCTTCAGATTTGTTCAACCCTTGGCCTAAGGCATCTAAAATCGCTCTAAAAGAAGTGCATGACCATTTTTTTTAAAACGCACCACAACACAATATCTTACCATGTGTTGGGGTGCGATACAATGGCTACAACATACAAGGGCTAGGTACATTGGGATGCCCTTAGGAAATAGCACACGCTCCTGCATCGCCGAAATGTGAATGGAGCCTTAGTGTATGTGCTATAAACTGTCAGCTAGCTGGCATGGTTTTTTTGTAAAAAAAAAAAAAAAAATTACTATAGCCTTCTATTAAAGAAACCACAGGATGCAAATCTGAGACTTGCTCTTATTAATGATGTGTGCTCCAGAGATATATATAATGATTATCCTTGGATCAGGATAGGATAGGATAGGATAGGATAGATTCCTCCCAATGGCTTACCATGTAGCAAAGAATGGATAAGTATGACAGCACCAGAGCATGTAACCTAAATATCTGCAATGACAACTCTCATATTTTTTCCTGACAGGTTCCTTCTTATTTGAGGGCATCCCCAGCACTGTCCTGACTCAAAAATATCTTCTTTAGTGATACTGGTGAAGGTCATACCCATCTAAAAGTGTAGCACCGGTCAGGGCCTTAGCAAGAGTGAGGCGAATTAGGCAATCGCCTCGGGCGCAGCTGGGAGGGGTGCAGCCAGGACTGGCATGGCTGCACCTCCTTGCCCCTGTTGCCAAAATTCCCCCCCACTTTTGACCTTGCTGACCATTGCTTCCAGTATAACAATAATAGGGAATCCATAATGTTTGAGTTCCCCCAGGTACAGGGGGCCAGGAAAATGTTTTCAATGAGGAACCTGTTATGACGACAGCCATTAAAGGGGATTCTCACTCGCTTTAGAGAGATCTTGTCTTTGGGTCAGGAAGTAAAGGCAAATAAAAGTCACACACACACGCTAATAATTACTCTCTACTCCATCTAAAACTGAAGTGCACATATGTATTTTTTTAAGAGATTGTTGCTAAAAATCAAATCAAAGAAGATAGTACATACTTAAATTTCCTGCTGCCTGCATTGCTCCGATCAAGATAAATTTGCCCCAATGTTTGTATAGAACCAACACTTCCGTGAAACGTGAAGCTGGCCATACATACTTTTTCTCATTCAGCCTGCTAAACAGCGCGGATGGGACAATCTCCCCTGCCGAGCTATTGTATTCTGACAGCCAGTACTTACAGCTACCAGAATACACAAACGGTGACTGTAGCTAACTGGCTGCAGTCACTGTTCAGCCACCGAATTTCAGCCTGGCTCCTTTGACAAATGTCGACTGAACTGATTAGTGTCAGCAGGGCCACACACAGCTCTGATCTGTGCTGTGTCAGCAATACTCGGCCATAATTTGAGCAGTGTATGGCCAATTTTAATCTCACGGTCCCCTGATCTACTCCGTAGTTCCTCCTGATGACCCTCACATTACAGTAATGAAGTAGGGGAGGCAGCAGGAACCACTGAGAGCAGAGACCATGAGATTGTACAGATGCCAACAATTCCAAGAGTGACAGTGTTGGCTTGTTTGATCAGAATGGCATTAGGTAACAGGGGCAGCGGGAGAGCCATTTGCTATCTTCTTTACAAGTAAAACCTTTATTTGAGCTTTGATTTTAGGGACATACTTTTTCCCGAATCTTAGTAAATCACACCTCAGCATTTTAACATAAGCCCTTCCTTGTCGGTTGCTTAAAAAGATACCAATGATAATAGCACAGCACAATATTGTATGTATATGTTATTACAAGGAAGTACAGGGGGTAATCAGTACAAGTAAGATAAGAAAAAAACAACACAACAACATGTCATTTCTTTCTCAGACAAATCACGTACAGAGCGAGTAATCCAACAAGTCAATGGGCTGGTCTAACATCAATTTTTAATGAATGTGGCTGATCGCTGGTCAACCCTGGATAATGAGCAGACCTGTACCATTCAGTAAGGACTCACAGATTAATTAAAACCTAGGGCCAGTATATCTTACCATAGAAAAGGAGTTCAAGGTAACTAAAGCATTCAGTAAAGCAGTCTTTTAGATTGTAAGCTCAGTCGCGCAGGGACCGCCTTACCATCTTGTATTGTATTGTGATTGTAATGTCTTCCTTATATTGTAAAGTGCTGCGCAAACTGTTGGCACTATATAATAATATTTAACAAACACTGTTTAGTGTTCCATCAGACAACTACAAAATTACATATATATCCCCATCAGAGTCCCCGTCACTAACCGTGGTAGTCAACTGACGTCTTCTTGACTCCCTGAGGCTTCATCCATGGTGGATTGTCCACATACAGCGAATTGTTATTACTGTTTTTCTTCCCAAAAAGCTTATTAAGAGTCCCCTGCATGGAGCTGTTTTTCTTCATTTTGGTAGCTTATAGTCCTTGTTCAGAATACAAATCCTCTCTAGCAGCGATGCATGTTTCCAAGGCAGTCCAGGTAGACGGCAGAAACAAACGAGTCCCTGTAGATTGTGCACACAAGGAATAGAAAGCTCAGGCTCACCTTTGCAGCAGGTAAATAGCTGATTCCTGTTGGTTGAGTGCGTTTGCTTCCACCTGACCCCACCCTCCCTTTACCAAACTGCACTAGTCACATTCCTGCTCTCACCTAGCACCACCTTCTAATGGGAAGACACAGCCAGGGTTTAACCTCTCTGCTACTAGAAGGTTAAACATTAACTCATCTCTAGCTCACTTGTTTATAGATCGGACATTCTCTCCCAATTATTGATGGCTCTTCTCATAGATTCCCTGCTTTATATTGTTATTTCTAAAACCCTTTACACTTTAGATTTCTTATACACTGTCTGGCCAAGTCACACACTCTAATTTTTTGTTGGACCGCCTTTAGCTTTGATTACGGCGTGCCTTCGCCTTTACATAAGCTTATGCAACGTCACAACATTTATTTCCATCCAGAGCGCCATTAATTTTTCACCAAAATCTTATAGTGATGATGGGAAAGTTGGAACACTGCCTAAAGTCTACTCCAGCACATCCCAAACATTCTCAATGGGGTTAAGGCGTGGACTGTGTGGTGGCCAATCCAGGTGTGAAAATGATGTCTCATGCCCCCAGAACCACTCTTTCGCAATATGAGCCCGATGAATCCTGGTATTGTCATCTTGCAATGCATCCCTGCTATCAGGGAAGACAAAATCCACTGATGGAAAAAACAGGTCATTTAGTATATTCAGGTAGGCAGTTGACCTAATGTTTTGGGCACATAATGTTGCTGAACCTAGACCTGACCAACTGAAGAAACCCCAGATAATAACACTGCCCAAAATCCAGGTGGTGACTTTTTTGGGGGGCCAGGCAGTGTGTATTGTGTCTTTATCATCAAATGCAGAGACTGTTGTTGTATGGAGGTACTGATTTACATAAGCTGTAACAAGGTAATGCCCATGACTCACTGGTTATTTTGTAGCATTGCTCTCCTTAGGGCCCATTGGCATTATGTGCTGCGCTTACGCAGCATGTTTCTGTATGCTAAAGCCACACTCCAGGGGAAAATGTTCTGTATCATTTTATATCATATGACCGCACTGGCATTGTGAATGGGTGTAACCATGTTTCATGTTACACCCATATTTAGGGTGTAACATGAAATATGGTCAGATCGCAACCCCCCATCCCATCCCTACTCACTGAGTCCCTGTTCACACCTTTGCGTGAACGTGCACCAAACGCATGTCAAGCATACACGTTGACGCGTGTTCACAGGTGTCAAAACTGCAGTGCTATTACTTGTTAATGGCACTCCAAATGCAGCCCGCAAAATGCACATTTAACCCAGGTGTGGATGCACGTTAAAACACGCACAAACACGTGGGAGAAAAACAGGGTATGTCTGTAGCAGAATCTGCTACATGTGCTACTTCCCTGCGTTTGCCAAACATGCAGCAGCCATTGAAATCAATGGCTGATTGGCCCGTTCACACTTGACCGACTGCTACATGCTGGTGCGTTGTGGCAGCTCTGTGGTATGTCGAACATTGCCAGAACTGCCACTGTTTTCATTTTTTTTTTTTTACTTTACAATGTGTACACTCGTTTCAGGCCCCCGCTCAGCAGTGTGGTGTGCTGCACTGTTGTGTGGCGACCTGTGGTGGCATGCAACTAGCTGCAATAAAATGCAGCATGTTTGCATTTGATTACAGCCCCCACCCATCACACCCCTTCACACCCGCTTTGTGATGTGGATGGGACACATAGACAATTATTGTTTTCTAGGTGACCTGTGTTGATCCGGTGCAGTACAGCGCAGGTCAACGCAGTATGTGTGAACGGGCCCTTGCATTAACCACCTCCGGGCCGGCCGTAGTAAAAAAACGGCCGGCCCGAGCAAAAGTGCTTTGGTAGCATCAGCCTCCCCTCCTCACTACTCGCCCATTCACAAAGTGCCTTGTATTTTTTTCAAGGAATACAGGGCATTCTGTGACTGGAGGAGGAGAGGAGAGGTGGGGATGTGACATTATTTCTTCTCCTCCAATCACAGAATGCCTTTTGTATTTTGTTAATGGGCAAGTAGTGGAGAGGGGCCGGTGATTGGACCGAAGAACTTCACTGCTTGAGTCACATCTCTCCCTCTCCTCAGTACCCTCATTCTCACTTTTGTCTGCATCTTCATGCGTTTTAGTGCATTTTTGCTGCCCATTTTTCATGTGTTTGCATGCATTATGCATTTTTGTTTTGGCCATTTAAGATGAAAAAAAGGTTGCTGGGGGTGGGGGCTTGATGGCATGCGCTAAAACACACAAAAATGCATGTTACATGTTTTCTTGTGCTTCCATTGAAGTCTATGATGATAAACCCACTCTGTGTGACACCAAAAGAAACACCAGCACCCTTCAAAAAATCACACTACACCAGTGGTTCTCAACCTTTCTAGGGCCGGGACCCCTTGGTAACATTTGCCAAGTTGTGGTGACCCCCAACGGTAAAATTTAGGAAATGACGCGGCTGCTGCAGCGACATCTGGCGGGAGAACTGACACTGCTGCGCTAGGTGAGGGCTGAGGAGGACTCTCACCTAGCACAGCAGAAATCACACAGCGACCCACAGGTTGAGAACCACTGGTGTACGCCGTCAGAATAAAAAAAAACCCTAGGAATGCATAGCTAGATTCTTATTGGCTATTTCACTTTGCAATAGCAAACTAGCTAGTGCACCCGCCCTCTGCTGCTGTCAATCAGTAGTGGGGACCTGATGGAGAACTTCAGGTCCCCCTCTGCTGATTGGCAGCAGCAGAGGGCTGGTGCAATAGCTAGTTTGCTATTGGCTATTGCAAAGTGAAATAGCCAATAGGAATCTAGCTATGCATTCCTAGGGTGGTTGTTTTTTTTTTCCTGACTTACGGCCCCCAATGTCAGACAAAAAAGGTTTACTCTGCTCGGGAGAACGTGTTTCTCTCCCAGGCGGCCGGGAGCCGCTATCTAATAGCAGGAGACTCCCGGGCGACTCCTGGCAAATCGTCATTCGACCCCCGAAGGGGTCCCGACCCACAGGTTGAGAACCGCTGCACTACACCATCTTGAATAGGTGTGAACGGGCACCATAGACTATAATAGGATTTACATTGTCATGCATTGTAGTGACGTGTGATACTGCAGCTGTTACAGGCCGCATCTATAGATCCAGAACTGAGCGATCACATATCGCTGATTGCTCAGCTCACAGCTTCTACCTGCAGAGAGTGGTGAGAACAGAGCCAGCTGTCAATCAGGCAGCGAGGTGGATCCCGACAATATTGCCGTGTTCTTTCCTGGCTGTAGCGTGGCTCTGCGCTGTCGGCATATAGCAGGCAATAGCCCGCTATATGGTGAGTTTTGGCTCACAATAGGACATAGTAAATGTCCTCCTGTGACCCTAAAGAGAACTATGGCCCAAAAAGATTGGGTCATAGTTCTCTTTTGACACTCACATTGGCTTCCTATATTTTATCAACGCAGAACACCACAACACATGTCATAGATAAGCTTACACCAACAGGCACATGCTGGAGGTTCCTGTAGGCAACGCTGGTCTTGGAGCAGGAAAGTGCATTTTGTGCAGAATGCACCCTCCTTGCTATTGCCGGTGTTGTATCTTGACACATCAGTGAGAATAAAGGTGGCCATACACCTTTCAACCATCGCAAGACTTTAGTCTTGCGATGGTTGTAAAGTAATTACAAAAACGTACGATCTGCCTATCTTGGACAGGCAGATCGTACTTGCGACATCCGATGACATCCGATGACCGCAATGCTGAACGGGCAGTGCCCGTTCGGCATTTGTCTCCCGAGCATGCCACAAAGCAGCCGAAAATCGTAAGATTTTTGGATGGTTTTCGAACATGCTCCTTAGACAAAAGAGGTGCGACCGTGCAGTAAAAACGGTTGCACTCCTTCCATACACTGCACGATTCTCGTACGATTGCGGGATTTCCCGCGATTCTCGTACGAGAATCGTGCAGTGTATGGGCACCTTTAGGCAGAGTAGGTACCTGTAGGCACGTGCATACTCTGCCTAATGGAAAATATAGAGCAGCTGTGCAACCAACCGGCTTCTATCATTTATTTTCAAATCTTAAGGTGCCCATACACCTTGCGATAATCGTGGGAAATACCGCGATCGTACGATTAACGTAAGGTGTGTGGAAGCCGTGCGACCTCTACTACTGTAAGGTCGCACGACTTTTATCTTACGAACATGTTCAAAAACCCGCCGAGAATCGTACGATTTTCGGCGGGTGTGTAGCATGTTCGTAAGATAAAAGCCGGATGTTCAGCATTGCGGTCATCGGAAGCACGCCCCTCAGCTGGGCGGGCTTGCGATCATCGCAAGTACGATCTGCCTGTCCAAGATAGGCAGATCGGACGTTTTTTTAATTACCTTACAACCATCGCAAGACAAAAGTCTTGCGATGGTTGTAAGGTGTGTGCCCAGCCTTAGCTGAACAAACTGAAGAGAGAAGCTAATTTGTTGCCATGGGAAACTGCTCCAGATTCTGTCTGCTCCTGTTTTGATAACCTCCCATCTCTATGTAATTCCATGCACAGCAGCACACTGCCATTCATTGCCGCGTGCGTTGCTGTAAACAATCCCTAAACAAGGCAAAGCTTTTTCCTTTGTCTGTCCAACGCAACACAGCCCAATGCAGCTCAGCGGGGCTAGTGTGAATGAAACTAAATAGTAAGAGAATTTTCCGCAAAATTAACAAAGTGGAACACCACAGAAATATTACAAGGCAGTTCTGGTTTCTTTTTTCGTTCTGGTTTCATGAACATATAACATGATATTTATTTGTATCTGAATGTGTCTGAGAATTAGCCTCCGGTAATCCCTACACAGCAAAAAGTACAAGGGAAAATGGAGAGTCAGCATTCTGAGTCATACATGGCCCTATTGCTTTAAGGTGCCCACACACCTTACAATTTATCTGCAGATTTTCTGTGGTCAGATGGAAAAAGTGCAACAGATTGGCCCAGGTGGAGATTACTCCATCCACACAGTATAATGTAGATGGAGGAATCTGTTGCACCTTTTCCATCTGACCACAGAAAATCTGCAGATAAATTGTAAGG